AAACTCATGCAATGTAAATTTGCATAGACATTCAATCAACAGTAAGAGTATGTCTTTTGGTGTACCTTGGCCCTTTAAATGTGATCCAGATAGTTGCTGGTTATCAGGGGACATTGACTAGTGAGCACTGAGCACCCCATGGTCATACATCAGGGAACATGAATGTAGCTAGGGCATCACGGACCACCTTTCCCTCTCTCAAATATGCAGGGTCTTGGGGATGTAATCAACATTGGGGTCTGCATTCAGCACCATATGGGGGAGGGGGTCTGAGTGATTCACCACAGAAAGTAGGCATGAAGGGGTGATTTCGGGTATGACTAGAGAAAGGGGCTTGAGGATCAAGGCTTACCACCCCTTCCATCAGAGTCTCAATTGCCTTGGTGGCTGGCAGAGAGCGAGTGGGGGGGACTTAGACATTGGGCAAAAGTTTGGTTTTGTTGCTTATGCAATTGCTTTTTTTAAAAAACTAAACATTGGAGGGAATGAGCAGAGGCAGTTGAACTGTGCAGCCAATCAGCAATCAGGGAATGCCAGGGCAGTAAAGGCTAGTTCACAGTGCCAACTAATGATCTTGGAGAACAAGATGAGACATGAGCTCACAATGCAGAATGCATAACCCGAGACAGCAAGCAATTTTGGAGAGGGATAAACATAGTGTAGAAAACATAAAATAACCATGGAATGAATGCAAGGTATTGTGTCCCGAATTCAACTCTGATAAAACCAGGGATGAGATCCAAGTGTGGAAAGGGCCAGTGTCAAACACTGCTAAAAGAACCAGTAAGATGAACAGAGAGGCATGGGCCTGGTCCACATTCAAATGGAGATCATTGTCCCAATCCACCAGCACTGTGTCTGACCAATAATCCAGCCTGAAACAAGGCTGAAAGGGGTCTAGAGCATATCATCATCATCGTCATTGTTGTTGTTGTTGTTGTTATTAAAATAAAAATGCACGAGTCATCATGCAAAACCCAGAGTTGTTCTGCCACTGGTCTTTCTGTGAATTACACTGCAATCCTCAGCAGAGTTACACCCTTAGAAGCCAAAGGGCTTAGAACATTCTTAACTGTGCTTAGAGTTGCACTATTAAGAACATAATACTCGTGCTGGAGCAGACCTATGGTGCATAGATTCTGGGAGGCCTACGTGCAAGGATAAACCGGCCAAAGCTTTCCCCTATTCTCGTACCCCAGCACTGGTATACAAAGGCCTCTGAACATGGAATTCCATTTATCCATCATCCATTCATAAAGATGCTTTCTGAGCAGGAAAAAACAACAGGATTACCCCCCCTGTCACAAACCAATCATAGGCTAGATGTAGACTTCCCAAGTCTCCCTGGGGGGGTGGGTAAACCCTCGCTTCATGGTCCCGTTACGCACCCGCCCGGATTGAGGCCGCCCAGGGGAACCCCACCCCCAAAATGTCAGGAACGTGCATACGTGGCCGGCATGATCATCAGGCCGGAACGTTGCGGGGGGACCCTCTATGATTTGAGGGAAAACTCCAAGATGGGGCCTGGGACTCCCCCGAAATAAGGTAAGTTGCACTTGGCAACCCTAGTTAGATGGGTGCAGTGTTCTGGTAAAAAGTTAAACATCCCCTCTTGTACTTGACATAACTTCCTCTGGGACTTTTTCCTTCCTTCCAGCTTCCAGCTACTGAAATGTCCAGTCCCCGTCTTCCATTCTTGTGGCTCTTCCTTCTTTCCCCGCTGGCCTCCAACTCTGCCTCTGAAGGAGATGACACCATCGTGGTCACCAGGAGTGGCCCGATGAAAGGCAGGCGTCTCCAGGTTGGCTCTGGCTCCGTGACTGCTTATCTGGGTATCCCCTACGCAGAACCGCCTGTGGGGAAATTGCGTTTCCAGAAGCCCATTCCCCATCAGCCTTGGAGTCAAGTCTTGGAGGCTACCAGGTTTGGAAACTCCTGCTCCCAGTTGCTTTTTCCTGGCTCCCCCCAAACTTCAATGTGGACTGTCAGCCCACCACTGTCAGAGAACTGTCTCTTTCTGAATATCTGGGCGCCCCATCCAAGGCCTCCTACCCCAGTCCCTGTCCTTGTCTGGATATACGGTGGGGGATATATCACTGGCACGTCTTCTCTGGAGATGTATAACGGGGCATCCTTAGCGGCTGAGGAGGATCTCGTAGTGGTCTCCTTGAATTACCGTGTGGGGGCTCTGGGCTTTCTTTCACTACCACCAAGTGCCCCAGGTAACGCTGCCCTCTGGGACCAACAGCTGGCCCTGAAATGGGTGAAGGAGAACGCAGCCGCCTTTGGAGGAGATCCCGCACGGGTGACCATTTCAGGACATAGTGCTGGAGGAGCCTTGGTGGGTTTCCATCTCCTCTCCCCAGGAAGCCAGCCCCTCTTTGCCCGGGCTGTGATGCAAAGTGGAACTATGAATGCTGTCTATGCTTGGACAAGTCCTGAGAAGGCCAAACAGAGAGCCCTTGATCTGGCCCAGAAGCTGGGCTGCACTCAAGATAATGGCAGCGACGTGGTGACATGCCTGCAGGGAAAAGATGTAGCGGGTTTCAATAAGTTATCTGCACTGGACAGCTTGATGCCTCTGGACATTCCTTTCACACCCACCACTGATGGAGAGTTCCTCCCCAGGGACCCACAGATGCTTCTGGAGACTGGGTGCTTTCCAAATAAATCCGTTCTCATTGGCACCACTTCCGACGAAGGGGCTCTGCACACAGTGTTCAGTTTTCCAGATGTCAAAGATGGGCTAATAACTAGGGAGCAGCTGGTGGAGGGTGTGAGGAGTATGTTACGAGGGGCCACAGAAGAAGTAGTTCAGGCTGTGGTGCAAGAATACAACAAAGAGTTCCATCCCGCATCCTACCGCTGGGCCATGGTGCAGTCCAGTGGTGATTACTTCTTCGTATGCCCCTCAGCAGAAATTGCTGCAAAGTTGACCAAAGCTGGGAGTCCCGTGTATGCTTACTACTTCACACAGCACACCTCGGGCTCCGTTTGGCCTTCGTGGACTGGGGCACCCCATGGTGCTGAACTGCCTTACTTATTTGGCACTTTTAAGACGGTCCTGGCTGCCAACCAAACATGCACAGAGGAGGAGGCTGCGTTAAGCCGCAGGGTGCAGCGATACTGGGCAGAGTTTGCTAGACATGGGTAAGGCATCACTTTTCCTCTCGTGGCCTTCTGCTCTTCACCACAGGCATGCCCGTTTGTTTAAAACCGTTGAGTAAGGGTGAGAAAATGCCTACCAGTTCTTTCACGAATATGACTCTCTGTACTCAGCCACACACCATCCCACAATCAAATTTCCACCAGAAAGCAACACAGAAATGACACAATAATTGGCCAGAAGGCCACCCACGGGGTCTGATGAATCTAGGTATCTTCCACCAGACACATGTTTATTGTGGGGATAGCTCACTCATAGGAGATCAAGTAAGCAATGGCCCACACTGCCAGACCCACACAAAGGGCAGCAACAAGGGGCACAGCCTGTGTGCGATGGCTACAGGCCGCTCTCAGGTCTTAAATAGGGTCTTTCAGGGGGTGGGGCTGCCCCATGCACGCTTGTGCTAGATGGCACATTATTTACCTAATTAAGCAGGGTGGGACCCAGTCGCAGCTTGGTGTGGTAAGTTCTGCAACCTGGTCATTGTAGGTTGCTGCTGGAGCTGTTACAGGCTGCTGGAGCTGCTGAAGTCTCTATTCTCATGGTGCAGGCGTTGATGTTGCTAACCTTTTAGAAATCTGGTAGTGCAGTACAGTTGCCAGCGCCACTTTGGGAAATTCCTGGATATTTAGGGGTGGAGTTGAGGGAGGGCAGGGTTTGGGGAGAAGAGGGACCTCAGTGGAATATTCTGCCATAGAGTCCCATGCTACCAAGAAGCGTTTTTCTCCAGAGGAACTGATCTCTGTAGTCTGTAGATCGGTCATAATTCTAGGTAGGGATGCCAGTCTTGCAGGTGGGGGATCACCTGATTCTTGGGGCTCCCCTCAGATGCCAGCCAGCTGGCTAGTGGGGGGAAGCCCCACCCCCAACAGTCCTCCGCACCCTTTCCCCCATCTGATCGCTCCAGCACACACTCAAGCCGTCGGATGTTCTGCCCATTCCATCCCTACTTAGTTCAGTTTCCCCCCCCCCTTTGCTTAGCAGTATTCACATAACCGCATACTCCACGGGGAACCCTCCGTGGGGGTTCACTTCCTCATTTATGGACATGGGAAGCAAAAGGCAAAAAACCCTCTCACCCGAAGGTGGCGTCTCATCACGCAGTGATGGGCTGAGCCCACAGCACAACGGGATGTGTGATTGCATGACTGTGAGTCACATTCCACCAGAGGTAATAGGGGTGCTTCCCCTCCGTGCCAAATGGCACATCTGACCACAGCCTAGGTGTACTTGATTCAAGTGTAATGTAATTCATTGTTTCCATTACTAAGATTTAATTAATCAATCAAAACATTTTTATGCTACTTTACCAGCTAATTAGGGCTCCCAAGGCGGCAAACATGAAAATCTTTTGAACATTAAAAATAACGTTTAAAATTATAAAATACTTCAGTTAAAACACATAAACGTACAAGAGCAAAACATGATATGAATATTGTAAACTTTCCTCCAGGGCTGAGCATAAAACAAATGTATAGTTTCAATATGCTGCATAGCTCACACAGAACCTTGCCCTTTACTGCATTGAGATTTCCCCCCCTATTCTCTTCGCAGGAATCCTAATGGGGTGACCGCCAAGGAGGTTCAGTGGCCACTCTACAATGCCACCGAGCAGAATTTCTTCCTCCTTAGCACACAACCACCTCAAACAGTACGGAATTCACCTGCCCGACACTGTGGTTTCTGGAAAACACAGGTTTTGAATGTTACACACCCAAGTGAGTTCAGCTTTTAGATTCATCATGTCTACTCTTGGTTGGTTGGGGTGGTGGGGCTGATATCTCCTGAGAGAAATGTTTCTAGAAAATTTGGCTTGGCTTGGAATCATACTTCCTAAATCTGAAATATAAATATAATTATATATAGTTTCACGATCCTTCCCTCAGCGGTTGGGGCTGTTTATTTACGAATCTTACCAGCTGAATAGGTAGCAAGCATGCCCATACATACAACAACTGGTCCCAAAGCAATTAGTTCAGTAGTCCCAAATTAGTTCAGTAGTCCCAAGATTCAGAAAATCTTGTCCAGACCTCGTAAATTGGTTTTTCTTTCTCTGGCCAAATTTAAGTTGTACAGATAGTTCTTGCCCTGAGCCAGATAGCCCCAGTTGACCCGAACTCATTGACCCTGGTTAGTACTTGGATGGGAGACCACCAAGGAAGTCCAGGGTTGCTTTGCAGAGGCAGGCAGTGGCCAATGGCCTCTGTTCATCTCTTGCCTTGAAAGCCCTATGACTGTTTGCCATGTCAGCTGTGACTTGACGGCACTTTCCACCACCAGATAGTCCTTTGTGGGGTCCCATCCCAGTCTTATGGCATTTGTGGAGACATTTCCAGATCAGACCCCACTGTTCACTGCTGTAGAGTGTTCCTGAGTAAGAAACAACCATTTTTAAATGGGAGTAGTTCCATAAACACAGGGCCATCTGGAAGTTGTAATTCAAGAGAACCTTTTCACTGAAAGCTCACCCTCGTGATTTCTTGTCATTCTTTCTGACTGTAAGTGTGATTTCTCTTATTCAGCCCACATTGCAGTTTGATCACACCATATTTCTATGCTGGTTATAGGTGGACTTCCTGCTCCAGGCCCAGCTGGTTCCAAGAAGCCTGGAAAAGCACAGGAGAATATTCCATGCTGAGTAATAAAGATCCATTTCTTGTACAGATGTTATTTGCTTTGAACTCACTAACATAGGTCTCATTAAGATGTATAGCTGAAGGTCCATCTTCTTGATCTTTGCCCTGGAACCCTCAGGCAAATTGGCATTCTACTGTCCTGAGAAGTTCACTGTTGCTAAATGTAAGGTGATGCACATTGGGACGAAAAATCCCAACATCAAGTATAGGCTGATGAGGTCTGAACTTGCTAAGACTGAGAGGGAAAAAGACTGTAGTGGGGTCGTAGTGTACAGCTCGATGAAAGTGTCAACCCAGTGTGCTGCAGTGGTGAAAAAGGCAAACTCTATATTACGGATTATTAGGAAAGAGATTGAGAATAAAACAGCGTATATTGTAATGCCCCTGTGGAGATCTATTGTGTAGACAGATCTTTGGTGTGACCTTATTTGGAATACTGTGTACAGTTCTGGTCACCATATCTCCAAAAGGACATTGCAGAGCTGGAAAAAGTACAGAGGAGGGCAACCAAGATGATTCTTCCATAATAGTTTTGTTGGACCAGAGTTTGCAAGCTGCAAGTACAAATATCAAGAGGAGGAGGTAGTGAGTTTTTACTAACAGCTTTCTTTTTTATGTATATAGATATTCTTTATTTTACAAACAGACAACAAATATAAACATACAAACATAAACGGGGGGGATAAAATTCCAATATTTAACATGTTTATGCCTAATTTATGATGCATTTGTCTCATAGCTTTAAATTTTCTTTTGCAAATATATAAAGTTAATGTTTTGAATATCCTCAAAAGCTTTCTACTTGATTGTAATCACTAACGTAGTGTAATTTTCAAACCAAAGTACAATCTTTTTTTTAATTGATATTTTATTATTTTCCACATAACATGTTTGCAACAAAAAACTCATACATTTTAAAACACTATACATACTATTACATCATATTATACACAGTGTCACTGGCAATGTCTGCTTTGTATATGTATATTAAAAAGAATATTTTTTTCCAAAGTACAATCTTAACCATGTGCTTTCAAATGTATTTTCTGATTGATTTTTGAAAAATCAAGTTAATTTGTCCATTTCTGCTGTTTTCGGAATTTTGTTAATAATTTCTTCTCTAGATGGTGTTTCTGCTGCTCTCCAATATTTAGCATACAATATTCTATCAGAGGTAATCAAGTACAGTATAAGATAAGAATTGGTGGGGTTTTTTTTACAATTCTTAGGTAAAATACTCAACAAAAATAATTCTGGTACAAAGGGTACAGAGCAGTTCAAGATTTTTTGCAAGATTTCATTAACCAAGCCCAGTATTTTTTAGCTTTATCACACAGCCACCACATATGAAAAAATGATCCAACTTTGTTTTGACATTTCCAACACACATTTGAACATTTAGAATCAAAATTAGCCAATATATCAGGCGTAGTATACCATCTACAAAACATCTTGTCTATACGTTCCTTATAGGAAATTGCTTTTGTAATCCTTATGTTTTTTTCAGTACCTGTAACCATTGATCTAATTCAATGTTATGTCCCAGATTTTGAGCCCATTTTATCATAACATTTTTAACCATTTCATCTTGGGTCTTATTTTCTAAAAGCAATGCATACATTTTTAAAATAAATTTCTGGTCAACATACATCAAAAACTTATCAGTTTATAGAAGCTTATAATAAAAACCTGTCAGCTTATCTTTGCTATATTTGGACTCAATTTGGATCTTTTGCCACCAACTTTACATGAAGGCCCCCTGGTATTAGGTCGTAGGGTGAGATGGTCTTCCCAGATTCAAGCAAAATTCAAAAAAATAATTGAGCTTAAAGGCTCCCAGGAATCTAATATACAGAGCAACCTTCTTACATGGTATAATAGATTCGTGCAGGATCTTAAAACTATTTTATGTGACCCTAAAGGCCAACCCACCACTTCCTGCAAGAAATCCAAACCTTGGTTTGATGTGGATTGCCAAAAAGCAAGAAAAGAGCTCTCTGCCCTTTATTATTGGTTTAAAAAATCAAGTGGCGACCAAAGGTCTGTAATCCAACAAGACCTTTGGTCACAAAAAAAGGATTACAAACATCTAAGCCAGCAAAAGAAAAAAAATACTCCAAAGCTCTTTGGGCAGATTTAATTCTGGCTGCCAAACAGAAAAGCTATTCCCTTTTTTGGCGATTGGTCACAGACAAGAAACAGAAGTTTCTCTTTCAAACTGATCCCCCAATATTGTCCGGTAAATGGGTCACCTTTTTTTGAGCAATTGTATAAAGATTCCCCCCCTCCAACCCCAGTGACAACTGCTGACTTTGAAGTCCTGCCTCCATGGCCGCCGGTTTCCCAAGAGGAAATTAAATATTATATTGTTCAATTAAAAACTGCTAAGGCCCCAGGTTCTGACAAATTACTCCTGAACTTTTTAAATAAAATATTGATTGATGATCTGTTAGCCGAATTGCTCTCAAAGAGAAACAATTGGAACAGTTTATCAGGATTCACCGTCTATGGTTTACGGAGGATGCCGCTGTTTCTGAGGTTCCCAATGAGAGACTGAGGCAGACTTCCTTAATAATAATGATTGTTTACTAGCACACTTCACACAATAAACATACAACATTCACAGACATACAATATAGAACTATAAGGAAGCAGAGGGGATTGATGGCTTATAGAGGTAGCTTATAGAGAGGTGATACAACCTGTTCAGATGTGCAGAGGACCATGGATTGTGGCCTAAACTCAGAGAGTTTAGGGGTGGCCTGTCATCTTGGGTTATGGCAGAGAACACACGGTCTGAGGCCATGTTCATGCTGGGATATACCCTATGGAAAACAATACAGACCAATGCCTGGTCCTGGGGGCTGGTCTCAGGTGAGAACAAAAGATTTTCTGGACTAATGACGAGTCCCAGGGGTGTGTGGCATCAGGAGGGGCAAGGCCCAGATGTCCAGAGGGGCAGGGTCCGGATTTGACAATAGAAGCCAGGTGCTGGGTGGCTAGTTAAGTGGATAATCTGACCACTAATGGCCCTGGCCAGGGTAAACAAAAGGTGGGAGATGCCCCTTATTAGCGTCAGGAAGGATCGTTAATAATTTGAATGTTTAAGTGGTTTATCCCGGTATCTTGATGGCCAGAGTAGATTCAGACAAAGAATTACTGGAGACAGAGTTATTTGCCAAGTGGCTTTTGAATAGACTTTAGAAATGTAGATACTTTACCTGCTAGAACTCATTGTTATTTCATAAGCATAATCTCTGCTGGGTGGAGGGGGAAAACTAGAGGCTTGCTCTGAGGTTGCCTGTCAACTGAAAATGGAGACCTCTTTTCAGAGCTGTGGCTAGCTCTGTGTTTCAGAACCAAGAGTGCCTTCCTTGGCCTGAATTTTGTGGGTCTCTGGATTAGTTAGAAGTGGGGTGCCCCTGCTATGGAGCTACCCAATAGTAAAAGGCAGCGCCTCTGGCTTACAATTCCCCCCCTTGAAGCCGTCTTTAGGCGTAAGCCAAGATGGCTTCACTTCAAACGATGCTGCGCTGCCGTTGGAGTTCCATATGAACAGAAAAGAAAGGACAGCCAAATAAGGATAGAAAGGCTGGGTGAGGTAGTCAGGCATACCGGCTATAAAATATATATATTGCTGGGAACCAAAAGGAAAAATAAAAGAAAAATATTCTAAAGCCAAATAAAACAAGCCAAATTAAAATAAGGATGGGTGAGTGTGTCTGTGTATGTATGTCCGTGGACCTTCTGCA